CGAGAGTAGAGTAGAGTAGAGTAGATTAGGTTAGCTCACTGTTTGCCATGCTTTGCTGTGAGTCAATATGTTAAATTCCTGAGAGGAACCACAGGGGTGAGGGTAAACAATTGTCCATTGTCCATGCACCTTCACACCTGCAGAACACATGTTTGTCAGCATGGGCCTTAAACATTTGCATCCTTCTACTGTCTGGAGGATGATGGAATTGAAGTGTCTGGGTTATTTTTACATACACATGTCATTCGCTGTATGTGTCATAATTGATCATTGTGGGCAACATGGCAAACAAGATAAAACCTGCTATGTGTTTTTTATACCAGTTATTCACAATTGTGTATTGTTACTCAAGCGGACAGTTATCCAGGTTTATCAGTTTAACTGTATCTCTGAAGTTCCATCTGGACTCCATACCTCCCTTTAAAGGAAGCGCGAGCTGTTGAACATCTCCTACCAGCCTGCTTAGATTTCCTGCGGGGTGACTTCGTCATACTCTTAGTCTCTGAGGGGCTCCCTTTTTATAACATCCATTTGTTTTCAGCTGCCAAATCAGCGTTGTGTTTAGAGGAAATTAACAAAAGATCTGTTGAGGGTGAACATGACTGCAGTCTGTAGCTGGAATATGTGAACCAGGACAGGAGCTACGTTATCAGCAAGAAAAGACATCTGATATATTTCCACAGATACCGTGCCCCTGCTGAAAATAGAAACAAACACCTTTTTGAGCGATCCCCATTTCTCTCTCTCTCTCTCTCTCTCTCTCTCTCTCTCTCTCTCTCTCTCTCATTAAAACTGAAGCTCTGAAGCCATCTGGGACTTCAGACTTCTTCATGTGGAAATTAGAGCCATGTGGTCGCTTGTAAGCCTCGTTCCTTTTTCTGAGCTGGAATGACATGTTTGTTCTCCACAATCACCACGAGCCTACAGCATTAATGCAGTGTAACACACAGAGTGCATTACAAAGCAGTCTTTGAAGTTCATTGCAGTGAATTGTGTTAGTAATTACTGAAATGATTACCTACCAACACAGTTGCAAAAGTACTACATTTAATGTGTTTTATGGCATCTTAAGATGGTCTTGTATGTATATATACACCATGACAATGTGCAAACAGAAACACAGACATGGGATTTAGGTGTACTGGAGACAGACAGAAAAGGACTGAATTACATTAATGTGATAAGGTTTTCTGTCTGTCGTCTGTTAGACTACAAGAAAGCCCTTGATGAATAATCAAAATCAGATGGTATTGCCGTAGTTGCCGATGGTATTTTGCCATCGGTATTTTGGTGGTAGTTTCAGTTACTCTCCTCATGTGCAGGGCACTAATCCATAGTGATGAATGACACGCATGCACGGTATGGGAGTAGCTTCTGCTCGGGGAGGTTAACCAGGTTGAATGAGTGCATGGCCTGAGCCGGTCTGATCTCAGAGCCAGAGCGTCCTTTGGCTGACCACGCAGCATTGACTAATCATTCCCGTGCTAAAATGAACCAAACATCTGTCGTCTTCTCCTTCGTCACGCCATCAGCAGTTTGGGAAGCGGGTCGGAGTGCCAACCACAAAGACGCTCTATGGTGAACGTGATCAAATCTTAAAATGGCCGAGATAAATCGGTTCCTTTGGGTTCTAATGCAATACTTGTAAGTGGGAGGGAGACCAGAACTTATTTCTGTTTAACTCTCCACACCCTGATGTAGTTTCAGCTCAAGATGTCTGCCCGCTGATACACAGCCACGAATACACACCCCTCACTATCAGTCCAGTGGAGCTCACTGTACGCAGAGTTTCCACAGTTGAGTACTGCCAGACTCTTCCTAATCTCGGGCTGTCATTCAGATTTTTGCTCTTGTATAATCCTCTGCCTTAACTCTCTGACTGCTGCTCAGATTAAGATTGATCATGCGCCAAAAGAGAGATGATTATGGAACACGGAAATGTAGAAGTTTATGTAAAAGAGGACATGTTTTTGACTTTATTACCACCGTGAAATTAGGTAGAGAGTAAGCAAACACAGCTGAATGTATATGTTACATTTCAGTGAGACATACTAGCTAGCTTACTTGGCTTTAAAACAGGAATAAATGGCCTTTGGGGTTTCCATGTTTCCTCCTTAAAAGCCTTTTGCAATAAAATTACTTGTCCTAATTATTGTGACTCGTGAAAATCTTAAGTATTTCTGTCTCTCTCCGTGACACTTGAGGCCATGTGGGTCACAGCAGGACTGAACACATCGGGGAGATGCGATGCATTTCGAGGCCGGACCTTTTTGGTGATGAATCAGTAAAGGAGGTTTTGACTGCCGCATCTCTGCCGAACACCACGGATTCAGAGCGCTGTGCAAGCTGTTTGTGGTTACAACACTGCACTGAGAACTTATATACGCAAGCTAGATTTAGAGCGCTATGTCATAACAGGAAGTGATGTCACGTAGACTTCAGGCTCAAAGTATTGTATCCTGTAAGCAAGCAGGTTATCAAAATTTAGCCATAGGGGTTTTTTTTCACTGCATATTAATTGTGCATTAGCCATCTGCAGCTGTGGCCCACGATCCGCTTTCTCACCACCTCGGCCTCACTCCGCCTACGTTTTGAGAGGCGTGGAAGGATTGCTGTGTTTTAACATAGAAGATGTGAATACCTGTGTTGTCCCTGGACTCATCTGAAATGTTCAGCTTGTCTACGACTTAAAAGCTGTAACTAATTTACACCTAAAATGAATCTCTTTCTTGCTATATTTGTCTTCAGGTGTGATGTTCGACTGTATTTGTAAGATCTCTCTCCCGCTCAGTAACCCTCTCTGCTGCTTACTCCCTTTTTATCTCCCGCTCCCATCAGTTTCACACCCCGATCCCCACCGTAACTAGCCACTTTTCTTAGAAATAGCTGTTCAAAGGAAATTTCTTTGCACCAACCACAGGATGTAAGGCCCTTGATGGCTCGCCTAATGAGGGGCCTCAGCTGTGTTGGTGACTCACAAGCAAAATACCAGCAATGTCGATGTGAACTGACCACTTTTGGGCATTGCTCACATCTTTCTTGCTGACTCCAAGTCTCGATTATTTGAAGTTTTGTCTGTAAAAGGGTTTTCCTTGGATGGAGCAAGATTTTGTTGTCAGACTCTCGTCACAGTTCTTATTGAACCTGTTGTTAGAGGAGTGCCGGTCACCGGTTTCCTTTTCTTCCTGAACCCCAACACAATACTATCAGCAGTCTGGAGACTCAACACAGGAAGCAAGCAGCTGGAAGCTAAAGATGAAGCACAACAGTCCGTGAACACTAGTGATTGAAAACGCTTCACAACACCCTACGTGCCGCTTGTATGAAAAACCTCTCTTTCAGAATCACGTGACTCACTTGAAGGCCCCTCCAGAGCCTTCAAGTGAGTCACGTTATGCTTAGTTATGTCTCACAACTCTTGGTAGTCATGTATGGCCATGCCTTTGACTTCATCTTCATCAAAATTAGAGGTTATTTTATGATAATGATGACCAGCTGCCCTAATTATTGGTTTGGCCTTTAGAAGGATTTATAACCCGAATATATTTAAATAATCAACGGACGCAAACAGGAGTTCAACATGTTTCACATCTATTTAACGTTTCTGTTATTGAGACATCACTTTGATGCTTAACACTTCCAACTCCTGATATTTACCTCATTTCTACTTTGAAGCCGAGTGACGGCAGACTTGTGTGTATGTGTAAAGTACTACTCGACAGACTTTTCCCCCGATCAGAGGATATAGGCGAGGTTGGAGCCATGTTGATGGTGCCACCTTGCAGCTGTTTTCTCAGCTGTTCAGAAAAATATGCTGACACCTAGAAAAACCTGAACTAGTTTTGACCTGAGATGAACAAAGAAAAAGGGAATTGTAAAAAGGAAAGCATAGAACAGCGGAGGCCATTTGCTTGGTGGTGTGGTTTCACTAGCCACCTGTTAGACGAGACGCTCAGCTGTTGTTTTGAAGGAGAACACTGGATGCTGAGCTTCTGGGGGTCAGATTTCTATGGCGGAAGGACTTGGCACCTGATGAAAAGGATAAAGTAACGCTTCAGTTTTACCTTCTCACTCCCTGTGCACTCTGCTTATCTCTTTTCTTCTTCACACCTTTTTGTATAAAATGAAATTCCCACCCTCAGTGTAGTTAAAGAGAGAGTTTTTAGAGCGCTATAATATCTGACCCAAAACATAAACAACTCTTAAACAAACTGCATCTTGAAATTTGATGCCCAACGACAGTCAGTTGGCCCACTGTTCTGGCACCACGGTGTACATTATGTTGTGGAGATCTCCCATCGTCGTGGTCGGCACAAGGGTCTGTGTGTGTGTGTGTGTGTGTGTGTGTGTGTGTGTGTGTGTGTGTGTGGTGGCAGGTGCCACACACACCTGTCGCTGCGAGGCGTTTCAGACACGCATAGCGCCTGAGGGCTCAGCTGGCTACTCGTGTTGTCAAACGTCAGTGAAAGTATTCCTCAGTCATGGCATTTGTTGCATTGGGCTCTTCTGGAGCGTTTTCCTTTAAAGCCTGAGACCTTTTCAAACAGAAGTCACTGAATGGTTCTGAAATACAACTTTTGTTTTGGAGTGTCACAACTGGCAATTCATTTTGTTGATTTATATATTATTTCACGTGTTGTAGATCATCCTACAAATGTAACTTTCGTTTATATTGTCTTAGCTTCGTCATCCGTCCCGCGTTTAAGGTTTCAGCGTTTTGACAAAGGCTTTGTTGGAGTTTGTATCGGTTTCTTTTATCTCCACATATGTGCCATATTTCTTCATATCCAAGCTTCACTCTGAGATGCTGGTCTGGCAAATGAGCGGAGAGGCTGTTCGTTCTTGGGGGATTATTCAGCCCTGACAACTGCTAAACAGCCGAGCCCGCTGCCAGAGCTCATCAAGCTCCCGGCAGGCTTAGAGGGCCAGACTGGGGTCAGGGGGGGGGTATGCTGTGAGACGGTGGTGGTGGTGGTGGGGGGGGTGGGGGCTCCAGGACCATCAGAGTTCTGGTCTCATCAAGGACTCTGGCCTCAGTTGTCCACTTCTCTGTTTCTTTCCTCGTGGGCTCAGCTCAGTCTGTCGCTTTCTTGCCTCTGTATTCTATTATGAGTCGGTAACGATACGGATGTTCACGCCCACATGTTGTAGAAACAGAGTCCCATGGACATGACTGTCTCTCTGTGTCACCCTTCATTATACATGCCTTATATGACCCACTGGCCTACTATGCCTGCTTGCGATTAACACTCAAATGGTCTTGGAATAACACACGTGTCCATATCAACAGGCTTTCTTTATCTCTTTATGTACTTCTTCCATTAGTTTGAGGTAAAAAGGGATTATGAATCATAAAGTAATGCACCTGTCTGAGTCTGGAAACACGCCAGAGGACTATTGGGTTGTTTTACACAGTATGTATGCGTTTCAAGATCAAGGAGGGGAAAAGGGTTTCGATTATTTGATATTGTGAGAGGGTCGATTCACTCGCAGTCTGACTTGAGCTAAAAAAAATCTGAAATTTAGACATATTTGGAAGATGAGGAACAGACTATTATTAAAATCCCTAAACAGCCAGTGACAGTCACACAACATATCAACAACAAAATCAGGTCTAACATGAGTTTTCACGTTTTCAAGTATTTTGTTTCTGTATTCTATTTGAAACCACTTTGACATGAATTGTATTAAATCTTCTTCTTTGTTTTCTTTTTCAACCACTGCTTGCTAACCGAGAGACGCAAAGTCTGCATCCTTTTAAGGGGCGTACAATACACTGACTATTACCTCTAAAGAGAATCATGTTCAGTGCATCACTACTTATAACTTCACACTGTGACCTCGAGCTGAGGTCTAGCGTTTTGTCAGCTGAAGCTCTGGGCACACTAACAGGAAGTTAGTGATGGCCTTGTGGCTGTGACAGACTCCAGCACGCTGCGTACAATGTCTACTTTTAAAGGAGCAACGATTTGTATGATTTGTCAGATGTGTTTCTGTTCTTTTTGGGGTTTGGTGAGTAAGAAAGTTCATAATAATGAGCTGATCTCATGGTGAGAGGTATGGGAGGGAGAACATTGTGTGCTCTTTTTCATCTTCGGGGATAAGATGACATCACTGTACCCACCACTAGCATGGGGAGGATTCACATCTGTAGGTCAGAGCCCCTTCAGGACCTATTTAACAATGCCGAGTGTTCTTCAGTAACACGGAAATCCTTCCAGCTCAGCACTGATCTGTAATTGTTCTGCACTCTCATCTTTATAAACTCAAGTATCTTAAAGTATCTTTTGCTACCGTTATCAGTCAAGTACGTCATCATGTCTTCATATTCCACACCAACAACCAGCAGTAACTCACCAAACTACAATGTCTTATAAACGCACATTGTCACATTGAAATGCTTTATGCCAATTCTGATCATTATGAATGCCATTTTTGTTTGCCTGCTTCTAGATTTTGACATGAAGAAGGACATAGAGACATTGATAGCAGAGGAACGCACTGACATCATCTCTAAATATGACAAGGTAAGTGTGCACAGGAATACCATCACCTAACTATGACAGTCCTCAAATATTCATGATAATCGAAAATAATGCCGCTAAGTACGCTATCACTGTTTACCCAACAGTTCAATCTATTCTACTAGTTCTGTTTCACAGTTTGCTTGCCTTGCACCATCGTAAGTCACCTCTAAACTTTGCGATAACAGGAGTGATGGTATGTGGTTGTTTCAGGGCAGACAGGAGGGTGTCCGCATTGACCCATGGGAGGATGCGAATTACAGCCTCTATAAGGTTACCGACCGCTTCGGCTTCCTGCAGTAAGTTACCTGACTTCATGCTCTGACCGCTTCCTCGCAGTCGTTTCAACTCTAGGAGAACACCTTTGTTTGTATATAGACATCATCTGTCCCTCTTCCTCCCTTTCTCTTATCTTTCTCACATTTTGCTGATGCATTGTATTAGTGCCAACCTCCGATGATCCTCTCAATGTCCATACTTCTAATACGTGCTGTGTATCTCTGCTTCTCCGCTCCAGTGAGAAAGAGCTGCCGACACCCAGTGCGCTTGAAGAGAAGGTATCTATTTTTAACCTGCGTAGCAAGTTCACATTGGGACATTTCATGTGACGCATTGATGCCCTTTTCGCATAATGTTGGACCACATGTATGTTTGTCTTTCCTCTCACCAGCAAAAGCATCATGAGGTCGAGCGAGTGGAGAAATGGCTGAAGATGGTGAAGAAGTGGGACAAGTACAGGAACAGTGAAAAGGTGTGTAACTCCATACTGGTGGGTACACCAACATGCTGTTTCAATTTAGCCCTCTCTTCCCTTTTTTTCCAACTCAACTAATTGATGTCTTATTTCCGCTTCTGTTAATAATCTGTTTTCCATTCCCCTTTTAACCTCAGTGTATTCCCTTATCCCCCTCCGCTCTGGTCTAGACAGTTAAAGGAAGCACACAAGTGCCCGTGACGCTAACAAGGCTGCATCCCGTAAAGCAGCATCCATACTTGACCCTCTCTGCCTCTCTCTTCTAGTTGTTGTGGCCTCTTTATGTTCAGAGAGTCCCCCATTCACGTCTGTTCATATGTCACATGTGTTTCAGTTGGTGAAGCGTGTATATAAAGGCATCCCCCTGCAGCTGAGAGGCCAGGCCTGGGCCTTGCTTTTGGACATAGAAAAAGTCAAACAAGATAACGTCGGAAAATATGAGGTATGACTCTTAAAAAGGAGGACAATTCCTGTGACATTCTGATTTGCTTTTATAACCAAATTTTTTTTTTTCTTTCCTCCAGAGAATGAAGCTGCAGGCTCGTAACTTCTCCACAGAGATCAAACAGATCGACCTGGACGTCAACAGAACCTTCAGGAACCACATCATGTTCATGGACCGCTTTGGAGTCAAGTGAGATCTTAGCTTCATTTAACAGAAAGCTTGTTACTGCGGATCATATACAACTACTTCTATTAGCTATTAGACTGCCTGTAAAATCATTGACACAGTTTAGCTTTCATAACAATTGTCTTTAACCCCGTTTGTGTCTCCACAGTTCTTGTTTATATTTTCTTTCTCACCTCCCATGTTCAGGTTTTCCCTTACGTTTCTGCAGAGTGTGACCTCGGCCTTACATTTTGTGGCAGCCCCGCCACACACACACACACACATACATACACACACACACACAAGCACACAACCAAAGCGGTAGTTTCCTCCTTTGTGTTTTATTAGCCTTCCTGTCAGTGCATGAAGCCCCACAGGAAATGGTATTCATACAGAAATGTGCACCGACATCAAGTGTACATGTACATAATCACACTGCCCACATCGATATAATGCTAATATATTAAAAATATAGATTAAACATACATTAAATGAGCCTCAGAACAGAGTTGTGGGAGACAATGGTGATGTGAAGGCAACTGGTTTGTCCTTGTCTGTTTAATTCAGACCGACTGCGAGGCAGAGTGCTCTTTGTAATGTACTTCCCCTTCAATTCAAAGCCACCGAGTCCAAACAGACCAAAACAACGCTCCATCCTGCTTTGCTGCTCACTCCTTCCCTGCAGGTCAACAGCTGTCCCACTCACACCGAGACACTGACAGCTATTTTAAGCGGCCTTTCCTGTCTCTACGACGTGTATTTACCGTAGAGGCTTGGAGGGGAGGCATCCTCTCTCGTCTACATTATATTTGTTAATGCCACTTCTCAACTGAAATACACACACGCACACACACACTTATACAAACGCTGCCAGGATGATACGATGCAGCCAGGCTTCCTCAGCCTTCCCTGAGCTATTTGCAGCTGTCTGTGCTGATTGATGGAGTTAATTTGGGGATGAGGTGGTTGAGAAACCATTATTCATGTGGCCTCCGGGAATTTAAATGGAATATACTCCGCCGCACTCCGACACACTGTTTTGATGTGCTCGATTGTTGCTTAGGAACCACTTCCTCATTTTTAACTGGTGGTTTCTCTATTCCCTCTCTAGGCAGCAGGCCCTGTTCCACGTACTAGCAGCTTACTCTGTCTACAACACGGTAAGTGTGTTTGTGTGCGTGTGTGCAGAAGTGAAGTTGTATGCCTAGGTGTGTGTTACTTAACATGGAGGAATCTTGTGTACACTGGCTGCGAAGCAGAAGCAGCACGTCAGTGGTGCAACAGTTCATAAAGTGTGTTAGTTTAGATCGAGCAAAGAAAAGCCGAGCACTCTAAACCCATCTGTTCCTGTTCTTGTTTATAGCCGTTGGTGAGATCTTTTATTTATGAGTTTGGTGTTGCCTGAATGTACAGCAACACAGTGTAACAGCCAGACCACCAGTGAACACGCATAAGTCAGCACTCGCATCGTGAGGCCAAGTTCTCCTTTTGACATTATCATTTAACAGGCAAGGAACGAGAGCCTGGTTTTCTTGATTTAAGATACACTGTCAAAAATGACAGACATGATTTTGTTCCACCTCAAGTACTGATATGTCATAATAGCCCAAACCAGGCAGTTTCATCCTTTTTATTTGTAATCTTAACAGTCTTTGCTGTCCAATAGCCTGAAATGCAGTTGTGGATGCTGAGGTTAGACATAATGACGAGTACTTGCATCTACTTTAAAGTCCTTCTGTACTCTCTCCACCACAAGCCAGAGTTTGCCTCCGTTGGGTGAAGTCTAGCTTTTACAACCAAGTGAGAATTCTCCTTGTCAACACATACTTACTAAAATACAGTAAATGCTTGTGTGTCATAACGTATGCATGTGGATTAATCTGTATAATTCTCATGTAAGCACAGATTGTTGCTGTCTTGTAGGGATAGAAATATTACCATGCAAAGAGAGCTTTGTGTACAGTACATTACATCTCCCCGCACACGAACACAGTCCAAGTCTGTTTTTCGGCTCTGTCGTCGGTTCCTGTGCGGTGGAGGTGTTTGAGCCAGAGGAAACGGGCATGTTCCCTTTTTTTTTTCCTTTTCCCCTCTTCACACACTGCTCAGGAGAAACTGGGTCAGTAGAAGAGAGTGAGAGAGACAGAGGGAGGGGGGGGTGTGTATGTGTTTGTCCTTTTGTCTCTGAGATGACAGGGAAGAATGCAGAGAATGTGTAGTTTAACCTCAGAGTAACCGTGACTATATTTACTGTATTTAATTATACTTTGGAATGTCCATTTCTGGCTGCACAATAAATCAGCCTTAATATGGACAAATACCAAGTGCGTGTCTAGTTTTGTGTATCTGTGCTTGCCACGGGCGACGTGTTTAGCGTAAATCATTGAATCATTGTGGAGTCAAATTGGCGCTAATTCAAATTGAAGACATGACGTTACTGAGAATGTATTTTGGGCTTCAGTAAATATTTGAACAACCTCTGGTAAAAGTGTTTATGATACTGTAGCTGCATGTACAGTTGGTCCTCGTGTGCGGTGTATCCACACACATCCACAGTCTGGCTTCAGACCACATCAGACATTCAGGTGCGCTCATGTCTCGTTTTGTGTGTGTGTGTGTGTGTGTGTGTGTGTGTGTGTGTGTGTGTGTGT